CTCTTTCCCCTAACAGTGGACAAGCACCCAGCTGGCGTCAACATTGGTGACCTTACAATTGGCTTGTGTGATTGTTTTAGTCCTCATGGTAGTTACCCTTTGTGGGATCTGCCATTAGCGCTGACTGCATGCATACCAGAGAATGCGGCTGATCAAAATAATTTCGTATCAGTGAGAACGACGGTACACGGAGAGCTCTGAGAGTTTCAAGTCTAGCATAACTGTTCCTTCTAACAAAGCTGTTAGAGCAGTGTAAAATGCCAGAGTGTGTCAGTCTAGATTTGAAGTCAAGTATCTGCTCGTTATACTGACTATATGAATCTAAAAGGAAGGAGAACAGTTGTGTTATAATTCACTTGCACGTCAAAATAATAGTTTCAGTTCTTCTTTAAAAAAATCCGGCTTCTTGATTTTTATAATACAGTTTATAGTACATTCTAAGGAAATGGGTTAATTTAAGGAAAAAAATTTTGGAAAAATGAACCAGCCAAGTGCATGCAACATAGATGCTACTGTCTGAGCTTGTTACTGGAATCATATTGGCACAGATGCTTGGATTACTGAGGTAGCTCAGCACCCAAACTCTTCCGACCTTTTTAATTTAGATTTCTTTTTCATTTATAGCTAAGGTTTGCATAGGGTTCTTGTAAATAGCTAGCATCCACTGAAATCACAAATGTTGGGCTACCTGATCTGTACGGTCTCCAATCTTGCATCAACCATAAGATTTTTTTTTGTTTTGCTCATTGTGTGGCAGCATTTATCAATTAATCTTCAGTCTTTTAATATTTGATACAGCATTGTAGAACGTGATTTTATTTTTGCTATAACTATTCTCAATGGCTGACAATTCCTGTTTACCTGTCTGGCAACCTCTGTCAGTCTTACGGCATTCAATGCCTGTTCTTGACTAGAATTAGTCATACTATTGGTGACAGAGAAGTTGGATTGCATGTTGCTTGCTCACTTTTTCCTATTGCATTTATTTTTTGGAAAAAATGCCTCAGCTCCTTTCCATGCTATGAGTAGAGCTGAAATTGCATCGCACAGCACAGGTGCAATCTACACTGCAAAAGCGGCATTAGGGCCAGATACACAGCAGTGAAAAATGCAGCTCGATATATAGTCATTATAGATTGATGATTTATACCAGTGGAGCATCCACCATGCTTTCCTGATTTGCACCAACTGAGATTCTGGCCCTTAATGTGCAATCATATTCTAACCCAATTGCAACACTCAGCCTGCCTCAATCCCCACCATATATGCTTTCTTCAAGAAACGTGAACAACCTGCACCAAAGACATCTGCAAAGGCAATTGCTCGGTCAGGAAATATTGTTTGCCTGAGTTTTATGGGGGTTTCATGGCGAGTTTTATGGGAGTTTTATGGGGAGCCAGAATGGGGCAGCAACTGCACCCTAAATTGCTGAATACATACCTTTTTTTTTTGGCAGATGTATGTGATCCTTTCCTGCCTGAGCTTAGCTTAATGCTTGGTAGGTAGTTTATCTTCCAAGGGCGTGTTTAAATAACGAAGCTCCTAGGGCATCCCTGCTTCAGTAGGAGGGCCCTATAGATGTATTGCCTCTTGGTTGCAGGATTGTTCAATGTTCTGTTGTAAGAAACATTCCATACCAAACGTGGGTCCCTAAGGAGCAACCTGGAGAGGTTTTCAAGGAGATCTTGCTATAAAATGTCTTGTATAAATAGATGTGCAGTCACCATAAGACTACTATTGGCACTGAGCCTTTTCTTTTACATACCTCT